GTTTAAAAATATAAAACAAAAAATTGTTTTACATATAGTTAGTCTAATAAGATTATTTAAATATTTTTTAAAAGATAATATAAAAATAAAATTAATGTCAAGTAGGAAAATAATTATAAATTACACTAATATTTAAATCAGTAGAAACATAATTAAAAAAAGGCACAAGTTATAAATAAGTTCTTATATTCATTTATAATTGTAAAGATTGATTGCATCACTAGAAACATCATGAATAGTAAAAGATGACCTTAAGTTTCAAGTACAATGTAAGTAATTAGTAAAGGTTAAAATAAGTTTTTTTTTTTCCTTAATGCACCAATGTGTCAATGATTTAATCCCATCTTCTAAATTTTGTTGAAAGTGAATAAAATTTAAAGTAAATATAATTAGGATGGATTAGAAGCATCAATAATCAATATTTAAAACTCCTTAATCTAAACATCCAAAAATAGCAAAATATCAGAACCAGTTTTATTATGAAATTTTAAGACTTTTAGAATAATATTTCTTTAAAACTTAATCAATTAGGAGAATTAGAATATCATTTTAGAAACAAATTAAAAATTTAGTATTTTAAGAGTAGAGTTGTAAATCAATTATGAGGAGTAGAGTTGGAGATAATTAAAAATTTGGAATTAGAGCTAAAGTCCATGATTAAGAAGAAAAAATAAATTAAACAATATGAGGATGCTCTGTTTTTATTTTTTAATTAAGTTCATTAAGTTATTATCTTGTGAAATAAGAAAAGAAAATTTAAAATATTTCAAAAAATATATTATATTATTTAATTAAGTTATTTTATAATCGAGATTTATCTTGTAATTGAGTGGTTTAGGTGGTTTGACGATAAAACTACAAATTAAACCAATTATATCAGTTTTAAAATTTTATAATTTAGATCAACCTAATTTTATATTGATTTGGTTTAATTTTTAATTGAATTGGTTCAGTTTAGATCAAATTAATCAAATTTGTTCAGATATAAACACCCCTAATCTATGGTTAAAAATAGTGACAGCACCGCAGCATTTTCTAAAATTAAATCCTAATGATGAGCTGGGCTGGGCTTCGGCAGAAAAAATCATGATCTGGGCTTACTAGATTGAGATAGACACATAGTTTCCACCCTCCTTTTGGACTACATGAATTACCAGACTTTTATATGGTCTTTTTTAGAATGGACTGGACTGAGTCTGATAGGACTATCTTGGGCTGGACCCCTAAATTGCAAAAAGTTAAACCATTTCACGATAAAGAGTTCGTGTGTGGTCCCTTCGACACACAAAACACAATACTACCAAAATTCCAAAACCCTCAAAATTTCCGGTTCTTAATCAAACCCTATATTTCTTTAGATCTTTAGATATAAGATTTCATCACTCCTTTCAT